TCTTGACCTTCACGGTTATGATTTCTAATTTTTTTTTCATTTGAGAAAATTTTCATAGCAATCTCTCAAAAAATACATAATACTTTTATCTATATTTTCACCAGGACTACGTATGCACTCTCGTGGCCAAGCATGTAGGGAGCTGCACTGTCAGCCCAAAGGTGGGTGGTTTGAATCCAGTAGCTACTCTGTGCAAGAAAGATGAGGAGCCTCCTATATGATTTATAGTCTCTGATAACTTACTGGAGAGTCAGCTATGAGTGGATTCCAAATTGATAGCAATGAGAATGTTTTTCTTAGCACAAATCCTGTTATCACTATGCTCTACCAGTAAAGTTTTATGTTTGCTAACTTAAAAAAAAATCTTTCCTCATCAGTTCTCATAAGTCACTGAGAATGATGAAAACTGCTAATTTGCAAACATCAAAAGGCTTAGAAACTACGGCTGTTCTTCATCTACTAAAAACATCCCAAATGACGCTCATAGAAGTGGCCGACAGAACACTCTTAAAAAACTGCCTATTTGGTAAATTATATGGCAATTGTTGTTGAGGTGATTTCTTATTTTTACAAACATCCGGATTTCATCAGCAAAAATCATGTTTACATTTCATGAAGAAACCTACATCCAGTCCTACAAATGATTCTGACTCGCTCACAAACATTGTTGTGGCTGTTCTGTGCCATTGAGTTGACTATGATCCCTAACGACCCTATGAACAATGGCTCTGAATCCAACCCTATTCAGAGCCAACCTCACCATCTCTGTCGCCCTTGACCCCATGGCCACTGTGGCTGCATTAATCGTTCTCATCCAGGATCTTCTTGTCCTGCGCTGTTCCTCTATTATTCCAAGCATGATGCCCTTCTCCAAGGATTGGTCCCTCCGGGTGACATGTTCAAAGTATGTGAAACGGAGCTTCAAACATTTGAACACTACTCGGGATAGAATATGGGGTCCTCTGCCTTTGGGTTGGCTCTTCGTGACTTTGGAGGGCACAGCAGACCGGGCCGCTTGTCTTACAAACTTGTAGTCTTTATGGAAGCGGACTGCCACCATCTTTTTCCAACAGAGTGGCTGGCTGTTGGTCTCAAACTAGCAAGCTTTCAGTTAGCACGCTAGAGGTTAATCCGTGTACCATGTAGGATGAAACAACCTGAAGAACTAAGCAGGGGGAACCTCACTGGGTTGATTAGCTAGCTAAGATTGCTTTCTCATGGAGCAATGGCTTTCAGGGATTTGAATATTCTCAATGAAGGCTCTATTTGTGCGTGAGCCACATGAAGTGGGCGGTTTGCCGGGGTTCACTAATCAGGGGATGTCCTTCCCGGGTGGTCTGCTGGCCTCCTCACCTCTCCTACAAGATGGCCATACTCAGCTTGCACCCCTCACCGAGGGGGACTGCAAACAAATGTATTCGGAAATCAATTGGGATTCATTCTTCTTCTTTCTGTCCTTCCTTGCTTTCATTCTGGAGATGAATGGTACATGCTGGGAAAAGACAGGGCCCCAGGTGGCTACTGCAGGGAGAGCTTTCGGTGGCTTGGGAAGCTATGACCGACTGTGTCCTGTAAGGACAGAGCACCCACTTTGGGTGTATCATACATCCAGGCAACCAGGCACACCCTGGTAAGCACCTGTTTCTGTGTCCTTCAGACCCCTCCTATGACAAGCAGGCCCCAGCTTCCAGGTCCTCAAGGCTATTGTGAGCCTCGTCTCCATAGCAATGTGGACTGCCTGCCAACAGAGAACGGATCTGCTGAACTCCAGCCATCCACGGCCTTCTGAAGTCTCTCTGTGTGACTGTGACCAGCCTGCTCGATGGGCGCTTGACACGGACCATCACGGACACTGGAACACAGCGCTGGAGATTCCCCTGTATTCCTGTCATTGTTTACTCCAGCCTGTAAGAGTCACACGCTATTGGAAGAGTTCCTAAGACTAGCTGTCAATTTTAAAAACAAAAAAAGGGAAAAAAAATTCCATGTATATTTTAAAGACACACACGAGTGTCACCAAAGTAGATAAAGCAGCCAGTTAAATACACAGGTGTTTAAACAGATTGGTGGTTTTTCTGGCATTCCTGAAGGCTGAGGGAAGAGGACATGACTGGCAGGAAGAAAGGAGTATTTTCACACGACCCTAAGCCGTGAGACTGAAGGTCAAGGGCCTGCAACTACACTTCAGCAGCTGTCTGGACTGAAGGATGTATGCTGTCGGTTTAGAGATTGTGAACTTAGCTAATCAATCTTATGACCATGAGGATAGTTTTGTGATGTCAGTGCGATCACTGAAACGGATTTCTGACCCCACAGAGCAGTCAGATTGGTGCTGGAATGAGTAGAAGTAGATGCAGGAGTGTGAAAGACCATATGCGACACCGTAGAGGAATTCGTTTTGCCCGGTGGTTGTTGTTGATGGGGACAGTTTCTCCTTTGTAGAGTTAGGAGAGGTCACACTCGGCCATCTTCATGCTAGCTACAATCTTTTGACTGCATGTATAAATAGATATGTTGTTGTTGATGGTCCTCGAGTTGACCATGACTCGTAGCAACCCTTTGAACAAAAGGCCTGAACTCTTTTCATAACTATCATCATTAATCAAAGCAGATAGAGTGTCCAGAGGCATCTGGTTTAGGAAGTGGATGCCGCTCCTGCTTGCATAAAGATGATATAGATGAGAAAGAGATGATAGAGATAGAGAAAGAGATAGGTATGCATATATGTATGTGTGTATATATACATATATATATACACATATATACACACACACACACACACACACACACACACACACGCATGTATATATGTATGTTTGTTGTTTTTATGTGCCGTCGAGCCACCTACTCACCTGAAACTCATAGCAACCCTATGTATTTGAGGTTTAGACCCTGACTAGACTATCCTGAGCTAATATCACTGACTCCGACAGCCCTAATCCTATTTCTCCAGTCACTAATTCAATCCATCTCATCCTAGGACTCGCTCTTCTGCATTGTTCCTCAACTCTTCCCAGATTCTCCAAGAACTGGTCCCTCCTGACCACATGCCCAAATTCTGTGAGTCAGACCTTCCAAGTCCTTGCTGTCAGGGCCCAGCCTGGTTTCACCCTCTCTAGAACAGATAAATCTCACTCATCTCTCATCACTCTTGAGTCAGAAGAGACTCATCACTGACATTTAATCAGGTTTTCAGAGGCTAAATCATATGGGAATAGATACCCCTTCATTCTCCCACAGAGCAAGTGGTGGATTCAAACAATTAGCTCTTGGGTTGGGGGTGAATTGCTTAACCATTAGGCCACCAGAGGTCTTGACATATATATGTGTAGACACAGACACACACAGGTGTCAGTAAGAACGTTCTGTCTGACACAGTGATGACCCCAGGGGTTGGTCAAATGGTGTGACACATTCCGTGAGCAAAGTGCAGGATAGGACAATGCTCAGGTCAACTGTTCCTAAGACTGTCATGAGTTGTAGTCATGTGGGTAACATCACACACACACACACACACACACACACACACACACACACACACACACACACACACGATATGTCCTTAAATAATTGGGGGTACACTGGTGGCACAATAACTTAAGTGATGGGCTATTAACCCAAAAGTTCAAACCCACCGCTGCTCCATGAGACAAAGATGAGGTCGTGGCGAGCTCTGGTGGCCTAGTGGCAAGAAGCTGCACTGCAATCTCAGAGGTACATGGTTCAAATCCACCAGATGCTCTGCCGGGGAAGGAGGGACAATCTCCTCCTGTATCAGTCAGATCTGATTTGATGGTACACACAAAAAATAATGAAATAAAATAAAATTTTTTTAAAAAAGATGAGGCCGTTGGCTCCCCTTAAAATTACAACTAGGAAGGTCACCAAGATTTGGGATCAAGTGAAATGCAGTTGAGTTTTTGTTTCGATAGGAAAAAAATCGCATGATGTCCAGTGTCTCATTTGTATAGGGTCAGAAGAAAGGAAAACCACGTGTCCGTGCGTGTGCATCCGCACATATATGATGACAACTGTCGGTGTCGCTACAGAAGTACACGTAGCGATGCATTTCATTACCTATTTTTCCTCTTCTTTAGAAAACAACAGATGGGGGTGATAAGTGAGCAATATGCCATCGTGGCTTGCCTACATTCCGGTTCATCTTTAAGAGACACTTTTAATCTGGCATCTAGACAGGCAGGGGGACACGTCTGCATTTTAATGAGGCTGGAAGACACACACCCATGGAATGCTGGTGATGGAAAACCCTGATGGCTTTCTTATTGGGAGTTTACAAGGAAAGGAAGGGGCCCGTTTCAGTACACCTGGGGTATTCGGTAATGCAACTAAAAGGATTGGGCCACGCACACTTGTGTTCAAACGCCAGGGAGGGAAGGAATAGCTCAAGGGTACAAAACCATTTCTCTACAATGGAACCCAAGCAAACTATCAAATATTCTTTGAAATGCACACGCTTCTCTGCAAGCCTCCATACACACACAAAATGCTAAAATCTCAGGCATAAACCCCAAGAAAGAATCATTCTTGGCCCTTCCCTCCCCCACTTCCAGCTTGCAAATGCCACCCAACAGCTGCTACGAGTGCTTGTATTTTACTTGATCCCCGAATTTTTCAGATATAGCAAATAAATGCAAGATGCTATCTGTTCATGGAAATGTTATTTGGTGCCCTCAAGTTGAGTCCAACTCATACTACTATATTGCTTTGGGGAAAGGGCCACTAGAAAGAAAAGCAGTGAAGATTTCTCTGTGAAAGCAACTGAAGGCATGCGTCAGAGTCTTATACACTCCCTAGGCCTCTCGGGAATGCCAGAAGGCCTTGGGATCAGTGAGCATGATAAGTGTATAAAGGATATGAAAAGAAAAAAACAGAAATGGGGTAAAGACCAGGAGGGAGATACTGTCTGGGAGCACGCGCGGGCACACGCACGTTGCGGGGAGGCTCCCGTCGCCGTGTACGGGCTGCGGGAACAAACTCACCGTCCTCCGTGGGCACGTAGATGTTGAGGTACAGGCAGTCCTCATTCTGGTCCTGCACGTACGTCATCAGCGTATCCAAGTTGGCTGTGAACCAGATGGGCAGCATGTCATGAAGCAGAGAGCGCTCGTCCAGGTGCTGGGGACACACGGCGGCAAACTGGGTGGCATTGCGCACCCCAGTCCAGGAGGAAGGGGGCTCCGGGGGCTGGAAGCGCCTCTCCCCGGTGGGGGGCGAGGCATAGGGGACGCCCAGGTACTGCTCCACAGGGCCCAGGATCTCATTGGGCAAGGGTGTTCTTAAGCCACGGATCTTGCCATAGTTTGTGTTGACCACAGGGTACTGGGCTTGGCTGGCGCTGAGCGAGAACTTGATGGCCAGGGCGGTGAACCACAAGAGGACATTGGAGTTGACCATGACACACGCGGGTGTGTAGAAGACGGGGAGCCAGAGCAGTCCTCCGGGCCTGGACATCGTTCACAGGTACATCCGAGGACGTGGGCGCGACAGGGCACGTGCACGAAGCCCACCAAGACAAGGTCACCCCAGGAGCATCAACGCTGCGGAGCTGCGGGCCAGTAGCTCTGCTCCTACGAGGACCCCAAGGTCAACACAACATAGAACACTCCTCCGGGCAGCCCATGGCCAGACAGTGACCCTCCCTTGCGCGTGGACCCGCAATCCAGCAAGGGCTCAGCTCCAAGGAAGGGGTGACCATCAGACTCTTCCCCGGTGCAGCAACTCCTCATGCAAGATCACAGGCAGAGCCATCAGTCTGCAGGGAAGAAAAAGCAGAGAACTGGGTTATAACGCAAACACAACTACAGTCACTCAGCAATTTACAAGGCCACACTCTGTTACCAAGTGCCATCGAGCCAGGTCCTGACTCAAGAGACACCAAGTGCTGTCTCATGGGCTGTGGGCTTTACTGGAGCAAAAGGCCAGGTCTCCCTCCTGCAGACCTACTAGGTATATCTGAAGCCCCATCCTTTTCAATAACAGCTGAGAACCATGCTTTGTCAAAGATCCTTGTCTTCTCATTCTGCCAAGTTTTTTTATGGATTTATCATTATTATTATTTTTATATGAATAATTTATTAAATTTTTTAATTTTTATTGTATTATTTTTATGTGTACCATCAAATCTTGAGATTGTTCACAGCTTCAGTTTGCTCGGCTCCA